CTAATTTTCTGGCTATATTCAATGGCCGACTCAATTTCTGCATCAAAAATTTTCTCATCTGTAATAAGCGCTTGTATTTGAGAATCTAAATCATTAATTTGTTTCAACATGTTTGTTAAAAAATCTAAGTGTTGCTGTAACTTTGCTTCCGTATCTAATTCGTCAAATTCTTGTTCTAATTTATTTATATGTTTTGTTACGCTAGCGCGTAGAACAGTTCGAGTTTTTCTTCGTTTCGTTATCTCATCCATGCTTGACAAATTTTTATAAACAACTAATAAACAAATTTATTATTTGTATGATGCTCCAATATTTTCTAAATATATAGACTCATATAATCCAATAGCTTCATACATGTATAACATCTAATATTAAATAAAACTTCACATATCTAATTGCAAATAAACTTCAAACATTGTGAAATAAGAATCAAATAATGAAAATAATCTTCTATATATCTTGTATTTTCTAAGTTTAATTGGAGCGTTTAATTACTTAAATCTTCATAATAAATTAATCTTCTTACCTTTATTATCAGCTTGTTTCTAGTTCTATCGCTGTTTTATATCCAGATTTTTCAACTCGAAAAGACTTCTAAATGTAAATCAAATCCAATTTTTCCGTGCCGTATGCACCAATGTGCGGTTGTTCAGTGGTTCTTTGTCGAAAATCTAAGTGTTCAAATCTAATCGATTTATTCTATTAAAAATCTAAGTAATTCTAATAATTCTAAACTTCTAAGTAATTCAGGCAGAACTCCAAATTATTACACTTCTGTTATTAGTTTATATTATTTAATTAAGAACTTAAAAACTTCTGATACTAATCTACAAGCAACTATCTCTACGATCTAACACATAGCAAATCTAATCTCGAACTGACGATTACATAAGAGAATCAAAAAAAAAGATTAAAAAAAAAAGAAGTCATTGAGCGGGAAAAAGCTTCCTTCCAGACGTAGTGGCGCTTTCTCTCAGACGTTGTGGCGTTCAGGCAACTGGTGTTGAAAAAAGTTTTCTTTTTGTTTACGGTTAGTCTTTAGCTGCGATAACACACAGTACTTAAAAATTTTAATCAAAGAAACAAAAACATCTTTTATTGAACTTTATGATCTAAAACAGGAGTGGGCACACTTTTCCAGGATGCGGGCTACTTCTAATTTTTTCAAGGTGTTGCAGTCCACCCAGCATCAATGGCGTACACAAAGGGGGGGGGGGCGGCTCCACGGCTCCAGACACTCCTCTACATCCCATGATTTTTTTCCCGATTAATTTTGAACTTCAGTGAAGCGACGAGGACGGCGCCTGATTTTCCTTTTCAAAACGATGTTGGACTTTTATTTGTTACTATTTATTCACATTCTCAGAAATTAGACCGTCACAGGTAGGATTCGAACCCACGACCTTTGGATTAGAAGTCCAACGCGCTATCCATTGCGCTACAAGGACACAACGGAGGATTTTCCTTTTTATATATGCTGTTGGATTATTATTTTTGTATGTTACTATTTATTCTTTTTTTAATTTAATGAATGAATTAATATTTGGAAAAAAAACTGTATTAGCATCAAGTGTCACCGACTACAAGTTTTAAAAAATGTATTTGAATTTGAATGAATCAATAGAAAGTATTTTATTAACGATGGAAAATTTGAACAAGATATATATATATAAGAATATTGTGAACTAATAGTAGAAATTGAAAAATACATTTATATTTTTCTATATTTTTTTAAAAAAATAACAATATGACAATAATCGACTAAACAGTCCACACCACACATGACGGAATTAAAGGATTTTTATTTTTTCTCGAGAATAATACAAAACTTGAGACTGCAATTCGTAGCTTAAATACGAGTAAATGAATTACCAGACTCTATAATCTGATTTTGTAGTATTAAGCTACTGATTTATGTAACTGAAGATTACGACGCTTGGATGTCACAATATGTAGATGTATCACACTTTCTAAGAAACTGGTTCTTCTAAAATAATTATTTGTGATGTGCAATGTGATCACACTCATTTCATAACGAAGCTGATGATTACAAAATACGTGTTTTTCTATTTGGATATTGAATTTTTAATTGTATTTTAATGCATTCAGTTTGTATTTAGATACATAAAAATAATTTCCAATACTTTATATACGATTTATTATATCTACATACATTATCAAGGGCTTTTAAAGCTACTTTTACTTGCCTTGGCAGATGCACGTTAAATCTGTCAAGATTCAAAGTCCTCACATTGGCGGCGTGTGCCTTTTTGGAGAGTTAGGTGCCAATTCAGATGTCGTCCTCGTCACAAAAAAATTACCGATGCCCGTCGACTAGTTGTTTTCTAGATGCGACAAACACAATCTCGATCAGTTAAAAATACTCATAAATTTGAAACAAAAACAAGCTTCGTAAAATAAAATTTCTTAATCCCGAATAAAATGCAAGCTAAATATTGTTTTATATGTGTACTCTTGAAAATTAATTGAATGTTTTCGTCATGTCAGATGTTCATTACAAGGTACCATGATGGTGATAGTTAATTAAGCATTAAAAATAGTTAATAAAGTATTTTTGCATTTTAACCTTTTAAGATATCCGACTACGTTCGGAACCATGATTTTAAAAAGTGCATAAATGGATAATTTTCACGATATTTAGTGTCATTTAGATTATGCTACATGTATAAAATTGTTTTAAGGACATTTTGACAAAAAAAATTATTTAAATACAATATTTTGGAAAAATATTAACTTAAAATAATCTTTTTTTCAAAATGTTCTCCTTTTGGGAAAAATGCTTCTATTACAATAATATTTTGTCTGTATATAGCTCAGACCTCTTAACAGAGGCTCAACTATGAATTTTGAAAAATTCACATTATATATTTTCAGAGTTACAACCCATTGAAATAATTATCGGCGTTTTTTTCTTAAAATTTCTCCCCTCTGTTGTGTCGTAAAACAGGGATAAATCTACTTCTAAGTTATATATTTCAAAAATTCTAGTTGAGCCTCTGTAGAGAGGTATAAGCTATATACTGGCAAAATATTATTATAATAGAAGCATTTTTCACAAAAGGAGAACATTTTGAAAAAAAATTATTCTAAGTTAATTTTTTGCCAAAATATTGTATTTAAATAAATTTTTTTTGTCAAAATGTCCTTAAAACAATTTTATACATGAATTCTAATCTAAGTGACACTAAATATCATGAAAATTATCCATTTATTCGCTTTTGCAAAATCACGGTTCCGAACGTAGTCGGATACCTTAATTATCCTGCCCCATATTATCTTGTGCACGGCACTAGAGGTCCTAAGTGTCACCCCCGAGTATTTATGCGGGGTAATTTTTTTTTTTTTAGTGCATCTTGTTTTATACCCGAATACATATCGGAAGGAGTTTGTTTCAGCGTCATATCTTAGTCTTTTGCATCACAACGACAATTTATGTACCCAAATCATCAAAATAACTTGACAGTTAAAGGGTTAAAGACACGAATTTCTGAAAAATAATATTCCCTCAGGGAATCTGACATTCAAATGAAGTATTGTTGTATTTCATTCCTGTTGTGTGTTGCTGTCCTTCCCGAAGGGAATGAATGAAAGTTGCCAGAGCCTGAGACAGGTTAGCCTTCTCGGTTCCTCCCCAATTTTGAGGGAGAACACCCTGGAGGTGGTCAGAAGCCTCTCACCTCTCTTCCCCTTCCACCAACCTCACGAGAGGACTTGCGGCTCAACGGCTATTTAGTATAATGCCTTTGCGGCATGGTACCCCCATGCCGCAAAGGCATTATACATTTACAAATACCCATGCCTTCTCCAAGATTCGAACCCACACACACACACAGGCCCTACGGCACCGCAGTCAGGGTCACTGACCACTATACCGGATGGACGGCATCTTTTTCCTAATAAAATCGATTGATTTAATGAAATGCATGGAATGAATTTTTTCAGTGTATTCTTGATTATAAATTATTCTAATCTTCAGCCTTTAAACATTCATCAGAAAACGGCCGTAATTTTAGCACACATAGCTTTTCTTAAAAAAAAAAAATTATGTGAGTGAATGATATAAGTATTCATCACGTAAATTCAAATGAAACCTCTAAAACATATTTCGGGGGGAGGAATAATAGAATATTCGATATCATTTATACATATTGATACTACTAAATCTGGATGAAATATGTTTTGTAATTGTGAGAAAAATTAGGATTTCTCCATGATTACACCACAAAAAGTCAACAACCATATATTGCCATTACTCTAAAACATGATGCCATTCATTTACCTCTCATTTCATTAATTCTCTTCGTGGTATTGCAGTAAGGGTGAAACCACAAATCGGCTTTTGCATACACAACAACCCGTGAAAGATGATGAAAAATAAACACATCCAGCTATGAATCAATTTCTAACAAGCAAACGTCACATAAGCCGAGCACTATTTCTATGTACCATGATTAGTTTTTTCCCCTAGTTTAATTTTTTGTTACAGAAGCTCTTCTCTTTGAGATTCGTATAACATGGTGTTTATGTTTCTAATAGTTATGTTTTATGCTAACAAATTTCGACACTTTATTAATAATAATGTTCGATTACAAAATTTTCATTAGGCCCGCTCTCATATACTTTGCTAAAACATAGTCAGTGACTGAGAAAGAGATAATGAGAAACCTTTGATACACATTTGAATGAGTAATTTTGACATGCATGTTTGATGGATTTAAATATGATACAAGGTGAAGCAACTCGGAAATTAGCATATTATTTAAAGAGCCAGATATCATTAACTTTATGACAATGTACAGGATTAAACGGGCAAGGCGCTTAATAAGATTGAATGACAACAAAGCCATACTAAAAATATCTTTGACTAAACCATTCGGTACCTAAAAAACAGGAATGCAGTTTGACTGCCGGGAAAAATATTTGAAAACTATTAAGATGACGAATTAGAAAATTTTTTAATTGAGAACAGGATGAGGCTTGGAATGGAATTCTTAAAAGGCCGGAGCTCATCCGGAACTGTCGGACTAGTAAAGAGGGGGAACATATATATCAGGCATATTACTTTATCTTTTGTGTTGCCTCATAAAAAAGGTTCAATTCCCACTTTTCTTGGAAATATCAATGTTCTTGATCAGCAATTTTTGGATTAGTTTTATTACTCACTTCATCGAGTTTCAATAAAGACATATTGAATGCAAAGATCCTAAAATGAGTGAGTTCAATTTGTTGTTACTCTAGTTCAGCGGCGCTGCAGTCGCTTGTTTTCAAGTGTATATAGTATACCTGTCTGTCTTGTTTGTGTTGTAAATAAACGTTTGTCCCTCCATCCGACTGGTCGTATCATTGTAGTCGCCACAACTTCTGACAGGTAAGAGCTAATTTATTATATTTTAATGCAAGAATCCGAATTAAATTTTTGAAATATGCTAACGAATGAATTACGAATTTGAACATTATTTTGAATTTGAATTTGAACAAATGTAAATGATAAAAAAAAAACAGTTTTTCTTTCGAAAATCTTAACACACTTTCCTGTCAGCGAATAACTACACAATTAATATGAGTACTGTAAATAAACTTATTTTTCTTGTGTGGTATTTAATGCTAAAAATTAAACTGCAATAATTTCAATAAATTTTTTGTTCATGCAATTACGTTAAGTTGGATGCCAGAACATAAGTTGTAGGCCATATGTGACCCGCAGACCACGAGTTTGATATGTGTGTGTGTGTTTGGCGTATACATTTGCAAATCTAATCGTTCATGTGTGTGTGTATGGAAATTATTTCCATAATCAATCAATTCCCAATGATTAAGAAAAAGATACGAATCAACCACGAACCCCCAGCAGTCATTTGTTTAGTTGTGTGCGATTAGAAAGAAGATGAATGTGAATTTCATTACAGCGCCGTCTCTATTTGAACTGCTAAATTCCCCTACTGTTTGAAAGGATGCTCAAAAGTGCGCATACATCAGTGAGCATAACCGTTCGTAAACGATGTCTTAATGGTATTAATGATTGCACCATGATTTAAATATATTATAAATGAAATAATTTTTCATCCATTTCAGAGGGTGAAAATATTAAATATCGTTTTTACGCTCATTCCGTTGTTCTTATTTTATTTTTTCCAGCTTGTTAAACCTTTGCTAAGGCAACTCATTAAATCCATCATCTGATCTTTTCATTGCCGATACAACAGGATCAAAGACTACTAATCTGAATTTAAAAATACAGGCATAAATTATTTCTCTGACAAATACCACTAAATACACTACTCCCAACGAAGTTCTCATTGAAAGAGGAATAACATACCCAAGCTAATCAGCCTTCCTTCATCCATCAACCCCTGTTACTACAGAGTATCTCCCCAGTGACAGAAGATATGCTAAACATGCATATACTACGGAACGACACGAACATACA